ACGAATGAGAATTGTAGATTATATATTAGCCCATGTAGTTACCATTTCCAATGTTCTCTGTTTCTTTCTTCATACAGTCAGGTTTTCATCGGTATCATCTTCCTTCAAGAATTTTCTTTAAAATTTCTTGCTGTGTTTGTCTGCTGGTCATGAATCCTTTTAGCGTTTGTCTTCTGCGATTTTTTTTTTTTTTTTTTGGCTTTCAGTTTTCAAAGATTTCTGCTGACTTTAGGATTCTAGGCTGACTGTTTTTCTTTCAGGACGTTCAAGATGTTGTTTCATTGCCTTCTTGCTTGCCTTGTTTCAGACAAAAAGTCTACTGTAATTTATGTCTTTGTTCCTCTATTTTTAAGACATTCTCTGGCTATTTTTAAGGTTTTCTTTGCCTTACTGGTTTTGCAGTTTGATTGTGAGATGCCTTAATGTAGTTTTCTTCATGTTTCACATGTCTGGAATTTATTGAACGTCTTGGAAATTTAGGAAAAATTTTAGCCGGTAATTTTTCAAAATGTCTTTTTTGTTCCTGATCTTTCTCCTTTGGGAATTTCAACTGCACATGTATTAGGCCTTTTAAATCCCATTACAATTTTTCAATGTTAATTTTCTCTCTGTATTTCATTTTAGAAAATTTCTATTGTTAGCTTTGTCAATTTCACACCTGGTATTAATTCTATCCAATAGTTTATATTCCTACAAGTTTGATCTGGATCCTTAAAACATCTTATGTAACTATGTAACTTTTGAACCTAGTAAAATAGTTATGCTAATTGTCTTTGCTAATTCTAACATCTTTGTCAGTTCTGGGTCAGTTTCCATTGTTTGTTCTCATCATGGGCTGTCTTTTGTCTTTTTCTGCTGCTTTGCATGCCTGGTCATTCACAAGTTTTGATGAGATTCCAGGCATTGTGAAATGGATGGTATTGATGTCTGTAAGTTTGTCACTTTGTTTAGGGACACATTTAAGGTACTTGGAAACAGTTTGATCTTTCCAGCTGTTTTAGTGGGAAGGATCATTAGGCAGGACTGAAGTCGTGTTCAGTCTTCCCCAGTACCCTGTGAATTATGAGAAATTCTCAGGCAGGCTTGTGGGAATAGGTTCCACTCGCAGTCCTGAGTACCAAGCACTCTTCCTGCGATTTCTCTTGGGTGATTCTTTCTCTGGCCTTGGGAGTTTCCTCAGGCGTTATCTGCTGATTAGTACTCACCTTAATACTTGAGGATGACCTTCTGTAAGCCTCTGCATTTCTCTGTGTTGCATTCTCATCTTTGTTACTCTGACCTGTGAACTCTAGATGCCTTGGTCTTTTCAGCTTCATCTTCTCAACCCATGGAGTTCTCTGGCCAGCTACCCTCAAAGGGAGCTGCAGCAATGAAAAGGTTCACCTTGCTGGTTGCTCATCTAGACCCATTTTGGGTCACTATCTTATGTGAAAGGCACTGCATTGTATTTTTTTGCTCTTTGTTTGGCTGTTTCAGGCAGGAGCGTAAATCTGATCCCTTCTATTCCTTCTTGTCTGGAAACAGAAGTCTCAATTTTCAGAGGGGTGCTGTGGCTAGAATGGGGTTGAGCAGGGGCTAGATTTTGAAGAAGCTTTTAGGTCATGGTAAGGATTTTGGATTGTATCCAGATATAGGTCAGAAGCCTTAAAAGACTCAGCAAAGGAGTGATGAGTTCTGGATGATGTTTTAAGGTGTTCGTTTAAGGTGATCCTTTCCCTGCTTTGAAGGCGAGATTGTCTCCTTGGTCTGTCAGGAGGCAAGGTGGGAAGAAGACATAGTCTGGGGTGACAGCGGTAGATTATCTCTTGTATTTGAAATCTGATGCTGGAAATAGGTGACACACTGGTTCTTATGCCTTTGGAAGGCCTGGAGGTGTGATTTACAACTCCAGATGCAGCTGGGGAGCAGGAACTGCTACGGCCTGTGTTTTCTGGCCACGTTCCCTGTACCAAAATTCTCTTGGAAAATTTTAGCCTTTCAGACCTTTGGCCCTTCTTCACATGTGGAATTCTGGGTCTCTGCTCCCCTAAACTTGGTTCAGGGGGCCCATTCTATGCCATGGCCTCTGGAGCTCACACCCCTGTGTTCTCCTGACTGGGTGCTTTCCTCTCTCGGGTCTCCGTGAACTGCAGAGACTGTTCCGGTATCATTTTTGCCCCTGGATAGCTCAGAAGCTCTCTAGGGGCATGGGTGTACTGCCTGGGTCTCTCTTGCTGCCCCTACCGGAGGCCTTTCCTTTTGGGCTTGACTTCATTGTCCTTTGCAGAAGTGAGACACCTCAGCTATTCACTGTGCTGCCAGAGAAGAGAACGGCCACCGTTGGGGGAGCCATGATGGGATCAACCCACATCTATGACATGTCCACAGTGAGCTCATGGAGGATATGCCTGGAGGCCTGGGATGGAGGGCAGGAACTTGGGCTGCTTAGCCTTGCATTGGAGATAACACAGCCCCGGACTCTCTCCTAGGTTATGAGCCGCAAGGGCCCAGCCCCTGAGCTGCAAGGTGTGGAAGTGGCCCTGGCACCTGAAGAGTTGGAGCTGGATCCCATGGCCATGACCCAGAAGTATGAGGAGCATGTGCGTGAGCAGCAGGCACAAGTGGAAAAAGAAGACTTCAGTGACATGGTGGCTGAACATGCTGCCAAACAGAAGGTAGGAGGGAGCTCAAGCCCCAGGAACTGGGCTGGGTGAGAGCCAGGGACCAGGCCGCCTTTTTTCAGCAGAGCGGCGCCCTCTAGTGGTGCGAATGAGGGTGGGCTCTGTGCCTTCTGCTGGAGCTTTGGTGCTGAAACCTTTCCAGTTCCTGTGGGGGTGGGGGGAGGAAAAACCTCATCATCCAAATCTGAAAGGGAGGTGGGAAGAGACTGCTGTTGAAGCACCTTTCCATAGATAACCAGAACTGCTAGTGTGGCACTGTAGGGTAAGCACTGGACTGCCAACCATAAGGTCAGCAGTTCAAACCTACCAGCTGCTCCTCAGAAACCCTATACAGGGTTGCTCTGAGCTGGAATCGACTCGACGGCACTTAGCAACAACCACCATCCATCTGTACATTCTTTTTTAATGTAATTGTTTAACCCATTGTAACCTACTTCTCTTTTTCTCCTATAGCAAAAGAAACGAAAAGCACAGCCCCAGGACAGCCGTGGGGGCAGCAAGAAATACAAAGAGTTCAAATTTTAGGCCCCCTGCACATACCCAACTCGCCTTCAGGCCCTCAGCCTGGATGCCTGGGCTTTACATGGGTCCCCAAGACCCGGCTCTCCCGCACTTTCCAAGGGCTTGTCATTTCATGTTCTTATTTTAGACCTGTTTTGTAAATAAAGCTGTTTCCCAAGGAAAGAGATGAATATGTAACACACTCCTACCTCTCCCTCATCTCCTTTAGTCCCCTTCTGCAAAAAGATGAAAATAGCCTCTTTCTATAACCACTGACCGGAGGCATGTATTTGGGGCCAGTGAGGAGCCCACAGCCATACTGTCTGAAGGTTCCAGAGGAAGCACCTCTAGGTCTGGGCTGACCTTACTCCTTTGTCCTCTGGGAGTAAAAATAGCCAGCTTAGCACCCGGGCTGGGCTAGGAAGTGCAGTGGGCTTGGGAAGCAGGCCAGGCCAGGCTTTCTGCTAGCCCTTTGGCCAGATGAAGAGGCCAGCCCTTTGTGTTAAGTGATCATAGCTCAAGATCCAGATTGTCCTAAGTCCATGTGAACTTGCGGGTGGTTTCCAACAACACTGATGGTTATAAATTGCGGGTGGGGGAGTCTTGCTTTTTTCAGGTTCTAGACGCCTGTTAGCGTAGTGGTTACGAGTCGGGCTGCCAACCTCAAGGTTAGCAGTTCAAAACTACCAGCCGTTTCGCGGGAGAAAGATGACACATTAACGCTCCCGTAAAGATTTACAGCCTCAGAAACCCTGTGCAGCGTCGCTATGAGGGAACTGACTCTACAGTGCTTAACAACTGAGCCCTGGTTCAGAGGTCTAGTGACAGCCTAGACTAGGCCTTGCTGGGTTTGCTGAACACAGCAGAGAAGTCAAAGACTGCTCTTGCCCCATTGGTGGTATGAGTGCACCCCTGAGGTGCTGATGGAGTGGGGTCTCCGGGGGTGGGGAGTCTTCAAGCCTCGGAAAACGTGTTAGTTGAGTTAGACTGGAAGAGATGGCGGATTTTAATAAAAGATGAAGCAAGTAAAACATTCGCAGTGTAGGAAATTGAGCGTGGGGATGGGGGTAATTTGAGGGAAGCAAGAAACCAGCTGTAGTAGTTTTGGGAGAGGAAGGCTTTAGGGCGAGAACAGGCTGGCTCCACTTGGGCTAGGCTGTGAAGGTTCACTGTGAAGGGCCAATTGGAGTTTAGGGCCTTATAGACTGCCCCAGTCTAGAAGTGAGAGAGGTCTGTGGGGTCCTGAGCCCGTCGTCCCCAGTGCTCCCTTTACTGGGCTCAGGCCGGATGGGCTGGCACCAGGGAGTAGGACTTTTGGACTCCGTGTTCTGACTCTGTTACGCGTTCCTTAGTCCTGAAGGCCCGCAGTGTACATCCGTAGTAGCCGTCTCCCTGCCGGGGCCGCGCCCCGGAAAAGCGGGGTTTCCGTTGACCCGTCTGCTACCACTGAAAGGAAGGTTGGGCCGGGTTGCGCCAGGGACCACCGCCTGCTGCGAGAGTGAGAGGCCTGCTTGGGCGACTGCGCGCCCTGCGGCAGACCCTCTCAGGAGCTGCCCATACCTAAGGCAGCAGGGGCTGCGAGCCCCGCCCCTTGGTACTGGGTGGGGCTGGCACCCCGGGCGCCCCGCCCCCTCCAGGACACGCCCACCCAGTGTCTCGGCGGCGCGAGCCGCAACAGGCAGTGGCGGGCGAGCGCGAGGCCCCGCGCGTGCGTGCAGCTTCTCGCCGCGGCTCGCTCGCGCGCTCGGGCGGGCAGGCTGAGAAGAAGAGTCGCAGCCCCAGCCACCGCGGCGGAAGAGAATTGAGTCCATTTGGCGGCATCTGATCCCGTCACCCCTACTCCCCTCAACCCATCTGGGCCATGGCCGAGCGTGGTGGGACGGGCGGTGGTCCTGGAGGTGCTGGGGGCGGCGGCGGCGGCCAGCGGGGCTCTGGGGTCGCTCTGGCTCCACAGCAGCCACCGACGCCGCAGCAGCCGCCGCCGCAGCAGCCGACGCCCCCCAAACTGGCCCAGGCCACCACGTCGTCCTCGTCCACCTCAGCAGCAGCTGCCTCCTCCTCGTCCTCGTCCACCTCCACCTCCATGGCCGTCGCCGTGGCCTCGGGCTCCGCGCCTCCCGGCGGCCCGGGGCCAGGTCGCACCCCCGCTCCAGTGCAGATGAACCTATACGCCACCTGGGAGGTGGACCGGAGCTCAGCCAGCTGCGTGCCCAGGTGAGCGGCGGGTGGGTCCGTGACAGGCCCCCTCCTGGTCCTCCCCGCCCCCTCCCGAAGGGGGCAACCCCAGACTCTCCTCCCCGCAAATCCAGCCTTCTGGGGACCCCAGTGTGGGCCGCTACCCCCCCGTCCCCGCCAGGCCTTCCTGCCCTCGTGGGGTTGGGCTGAGTCCGGCCTTCCTGCCGGTCAGTTTCCCGGCGGGAGGGACAGAAGACTGTCCCCGCCTTGCCGGCGCCGGGGGCTGTAGAGATGTGACAGCGATGTGCTGGAGATCTCATCTGATAGTTGTCTTTCCCAATCGCCGCAGCAGCATGTGTCAACCTCGGCTGTGTGTCACCTTCTGCCAGCGAAGCCCATACATATAGTAACCCTGGGGACTTCCAGTTCATCTTTTGTACACATGCTCGTGTGTACTTCCAGCCACACCCGTCTGACCCGGCCTCTCAGCTCTCGGGTTTGGGGACCGCGTAGTGTGGCATCAAGTGCATGATTTTCATCTTTTCTTTTCTCTCAGTAGCTGGTCACATAGGCTCCATTTCCTAAAACGACTGCCTTGTTCTTGAAATCAATCCATTCCTCTGTCTTTTGCAATCATCTGGGGACTTTCCTTCCAATTGGCAAAACATTGGGACTATTTTCTGGTTTTGTATTGATAATGCCATGTTTTCCAGCTCTCTGGGGACACCAGCACGTCTTATAGTTGACTCCCTTTGAATAGACGGTGTGTGGAGCTGGTTTTCCCCACGAAGCCCAGAGGAATGCCGGGAGGTATTATTTCTGTCACCTCTGAACTGAGTTGATCCTGTTGTCTCAGTCTCGGGCTGCCTCCTTAGCTGCTCTGTTAGCCCTCGGCAGCTGGATGTGCAAGGTACAGCTGGAGAGCTTGGTCTGGTTCTGCAACTCTATGGATTTTTCTTTTTCCACTTTTATTTTGCATTAGTGTGTGGAAATATGACACATACACATATACACCCCCCCCCCAATATTACATAGATAAGGCATAAAGAATGCTAACTACATCTCTGCTTGACTCAGCTTAAGAAATAAAGCAGTACCACTTCTGTCCAAGGCCTCAGGGTGCCCCTTCCTGACAACATCCCTCCTTCCACAAAGGTAATCACTGTTCTGAATTGTGTGTTTATCATTTCTCACACCTCCCTCCCCCTTTCAAATTCAAGTTATACTACCTGTGTTGTTAAGTGCTGTTGAGTCAGTTCTGACTCACAGTGACCCTGTATAGGATTCCCAAGGAGCGGCTGGTGGGTTTGAACCTTGTGGTACAAACTAACCTTGTGGTCTAGTGCTGTATCCTACAGTGCTGGGAACCCCTAAAAAACACTTTTGTTTTGAAGTTGACGTTAAATGCTTCACACTGTATGTCTCCGTGACGTTTTTTTTGTTGTTGTTGTTTTTAACTCACCTAAGTTTGTGAGCATCATCAATATTGTATGGGTGTTGTTGTATGCCATTGAGTCAGTTCTGACTCACAGCCACCCTGTAGAGGGTTTCAGAGAATGCTTAGTAGGTTTGCACTGCTGACCTTACAGCTAGCAGTGTGGTGCTTATCCTACAATACCACACCAGGGTTATTGTATGGGTGGTGATGATTAAGTGCTGTTGAGTCGATTTCAACTCATAGCAACCTTGTATAGTATAGGGTTTGTGCTGAGCAGTTGGTGGGTATGAACCACCGACCTTATGGTTGGCAGTTCATTGTGTAACTTGCAGCATCACACCAGGACTTCATTGTACTGGTTGTTGTTGTTAAGTGCTGTTGAATTGATTCGACTCATAGTCACCCTGTATAGGGTTTCTGAGGAGTGGCTAGTGGATTTGAACTGCAGACCTTGTGATTCAAACCGACATTCTAGTCGAGTGCTTATCCTGTATTGCCACACCCAGGACTTGATGTATGGATGGTGATAGTAGTGCTTGTGTGCTGTGGAGTTGGTTCTGACTTAAAGCGACCCTGTATAGGGTTTCCAAGACTATAAATCTTTATGGGAGCAGAAAGCCTCTTCATTCTCCTGCGGAACCACTGGTAGTTTCGAACTGCTGACAGTGAGATTAGCAGCACAGCTCGTAACCATTATACTACCAGAGCTCCTTACTGTATGGGTTGTTACTGTTTGTTGTTAAGTACTGTTGAGTCGGTTCCAACCCAAAGCAATCCTGTATAAGGTTTCCAAAGAGCAGCTGGTGAGCTTGAACCGCCGACCTTGCAGTTCAGACCAACTTTGCAGTCCATTGTATTAACCCACAGCACCACACCAGGACTCCTGTATGGGTTGTTGTTGTTGAGTGCCGTCGAGTCGATTCTGACCCATAGTGACCCTGTATAGGGTTTCCAAGGAGCAGCTGCTCTGTTTAAATATTTTCACTGATGTGTAGTGTTCCATTGTATGACTATCCCATAATTCTCTCAGTGAACAGTGGGGTGGTTCCTTGTTGGTTAATCTGAATAACACACTACCAAAACTGCTTGTAGTTCTATCTAGGACTTCTGGTGCTTCTGTGCAAGTTTCTCAGGGTGTATTTATAGGTAAATGTGTGTGTATGTTGCACCATTCAGTGACGTTCCAGAAGTATCTACACCTTGTGGTAGTGCTACTCTCTGGGTATCAGTACATCGGGAAGTTCATTAGCTAATGCTAGATGGTCTTCCACAAGTCTCCTTCTCTCTTCCTGTCATTTTACTGACTTACAGTGTCTTTTTTCCCTGTCCTTTCTTTAGGGAAATCAGGAGTCACCTTAGTTCAGGTGGCTTTGGCCACAGCCCTAAATCCAAACTCAAGTGGGGGTTTAATGATGTGACATGATAGTGCGCCTCTCTCCGTTCTAAGCAGGCTTCTGTTTATACAGGCCTTGCAGAAGGGTCCTAATCCATCTCTTTCAAACATGAGATCACTGTGTCCTTCCTACGAGTCCAGTGGTAGTAGTGCAGGCCTGCCTGTCCTTCCTTGACATCTATCACTGTGTGTGCTTGGAGATAGTTGGACAGCTGCCTTCTCCAGCTTGTTACAGTGCAAAGGCAAGAAGCAGCTGTGTGGCAGAGGGGGACAAATGCAATCATGGATTGTGGCTGATTTGTCGTTTGCCCCTAGATCTCTTGGTCTCTGAAAAGTATTCATGGTAAATTATTAGCCCAAGAAACAGTCAGGCATTTGGATCCCGTGGATAATGAATATGCTAGCTTGGTATGAGAGGTTTCAACACGCTTGTTGGGTTCACGTGTAGGGTACATGCAGTTTGGTCGACTGAACAACTCTTGAGATTGATTGCCAGCTGTCCTGCTCCGACGTTATTTCCCAGCTGCCCCCGGTGCCTCTCAGCCCCTTGTGGAATACTTGTGCTCCTTGGAGCCTGCTGCTCTCTCTGCAGGATGGAAAAGAACACCCTGTTGGGGAGAAAATGGTCTTCTAGCCTTTCCAGTAGTGGTTCTGGTGTAGCACTGCAGAGTAATGCGCTAGACTGCAAGCTTGGAGGTTCAAACTCACCAGCTGCTCCTTTGAAATCCTATACAGGGTCACTGTGAGTAGGAACTGACTCAGTGATACTTAACAACAACGACATTGGCCTTTCTAGTTTTTCAAGTCATCAGTGAATTTGAAGTCTTCTCAGTGTTACTTTTTTCTTTAGTGTGTAGCATAGGACTAAAGCACTTGGCTCATGTAACTTCAGTGAAACACACACTTTCTGAAATGGATCTGTTTAAGAGATGTAAGTATGACTGTGGATCTACCCCTGGGTTGTATTGGAATGTTGTAGCGTGCAGTCTTGTGAAAATGGGGTTCTGTACCACATGCAGAGAAGGGGGGTTGAAGGCCAGGCGACTGACTTTTCTTGATCTTTATAGAAATAGCACTCTTTTTTTTTTTTAAATCTTCACCATTTAAGCTCACCAGTTGATCCTCAGAAACCCTATACAGGGTTGCTACGGGTTGGAACTGACTCGATGGCAGTTCACAACAACAACAAATCTTTGAAAAGAGTTGTTGGCTTTTAATGACAACCCTAAAGTTCATAACTTGTAGTTCTAGTCGTCTTCAAGCAATGTAGTGATGATTCAATAAGCATTCTCTCCTGCCATTTTAATGTGTTCTGCTGAGGGGATCAAGACTCATTTTTGAACTATAATGAGTCCACAGAACTTTTAGGACACAAGTGACCTTTTTTCTATGTTGACCCCATAGAAGCCCTAACAACTAATACGGCTCTTCTCATCTTGTCATCCGTACATTCGATTTCAACTCAGGGTGCCCCATATGTATGGAGGAGAATTGCACTAGAACTCAGTTTTGAGAAAAATAACAACAAAAACAAAAAAGTAGTGTTAAAAATTAGGTATTTCAGGTTGAGTGTGAGAATTGTGCCTCTGGTGTGTACTCTGGCCTTACGTAAACATCTAATGGTGCTATAGGTTGAGCATTGGACTGCTAACCGCAAGTCAGCAGTTCAAATCTACCAGCTGCTCTGTGGAAGAAAGATGAAGCTTTCTGCTCCCATAAGAATTTACAGCCTCAAAAACCCTGTACAGTGTCACTGTGAGTCGGAACCAACTTGATAGCACCTACTAGCTACAACACATTTCCTCAGATTTATTGTTGGTTTTTTTTTCTACTTGTACAAGCTTTATTTTTAAGAAAAATTTGATGGGTGAATTGCATGCATATGGTTAGTGGTGGCTATATGCCATGGAGTTGGTTCTGACTCATAGCGACCCTGTACAGGGTTTCCAAGGCTGTAAATATTTACTGGAGCAGAAAGCCTTATCTTTCTCCTGCAGAACAGATGGTAGTTTTGAACTGCTGACCTTGCGGTTCGCAGCCCGATTCATAACCCCTACGCTACCAGAGCCCCAGGGATTAAAATAATGAAAGTATTTATTGTCATCTTTACCAGCATTTTAAAAATAAAAAGACTGCTACATGTTTATGATTAGACACGAGCGATATAGAAAGATGGAAAGTGTAAAAATTTCCCAGTCTCACTCCCCA